CACACACACACACACACACACACACACACACACACACACACACACATATGCATGCACGCGCGATGAAATATCGCGACGATAAAAGCGAAGAACGAAATTTCAACTTTGACGAAGGCTGTTTTACTGTTTGTGTTTGTTTGAACGTGGCGACGATCCGCGAATGCGACAAGCGAACAAGCGAGTGAGCGAGCGAGCGATCGTGCTAATGTAGATCACGCGACAAACGAAGTTTCGCGGCCGCACATATTTGCTGCCTTGTGTAGCACGATGCCTCGCCGAATTTAACGGAGAGGGTTCCATACAATTTCCAAGTTTCCTCGACCCAGTTGAATCGTCTCTTATTACAACCGCTATAAATTACCACGGTCTTGCCTCGTATGTCGTCGGCTTCAATTCCGCAGTTTTGCAGCTGTAAGAAACAATTCGCCGTTCTTCGGTGCGTTCTCTCCCTTCGCTCTTCTTTCTCCTTGTTATTCCTTGTCTTGTACAATTCCTTCGCGAGACGCGACACTTGGCCGCGATAACGCGTCTTATTGGGAAACTTCTTAATCCCGGCGATGTCCGATTACTCGACACGCGCGAGAACTTTTCGCAACGCGATCGCGAACCGTCGCGGTTTTAATTGTCACTTGGCGAGTGTGTCTGTTCGTCTCTCTCTCTCTCTCTCTCTCACTCTCTCTTTCTCTCGAATATTCGACGACTAGATCAAGCCGAAGCGTCGCTTATCTTACGACTACACATCGGCCTCTTCTTTCTTACCGTGGCGAATGCCACTTGTTCTCCGCTAACTACGTGCGCGGAAGTTCCTCTCGCGAGTCGAATAACTTTTGTATCGCGGGCGAGATGAATATGAATGTCTTCGGGCACAAAGAAAGAGCGAGGGCCAACTTGTTAGAACGGGTTTGCATTCATTTCCTTCTCTTTTCGCACGTCGACAGCGATACTTTCTCTTTTTTTTTTCTTTTTTCGCGACGGGCCATTCTCGCGACGAATCGAAAAGAGAAACTTCAGCGACGAGCCGAGCGCCAAATCTGCCCCCGGGGCGCTCGCCGCGTTTCGCGCCTCGTGAATTTATATAGTACCATTTTCTTTTTCCCTTCTGTCATTTTCTCACTTCCCCCTGCATCCCCAAACATCGTTTGCATATCATTGTTTGCACGCGTAAATAATTTCGGATTTTGCGGGAGTCGAACTCGTGATTCCAGGTGGAGCCAGTCCATCGCGCGCGGACTGGAAGCTTTCGTTTCGTTTCGTTTCATCGCTCGGTTTCGGTGAGAAATCGTGGTTGATGTTTGCAAGAAACACACAAGTTTCCACGAACTGTGAAGTTCATTAGCGACGTGCGTCATCAATCATAGTCTCGGCAAATGTGGCTGGTGAAAAGGATACGCCATCATTCTTCATTCTCAATATAGTTATTCAGAGAGTTCTGGGCAGAGCTCCCCCGGCCGTTGAATCGCCGGTACAACTCTCGTAACAGTCACGTTTCCGCTGTATCTTCCTTCTTCTTCTTGTTTCTTTTCTCTCCTTTCTTTTTCTTTTTTTTTTATCCCCCTCTTTCTATTTCTCTCCCGAACGCTTTTCAACAGGCTTCTTTCACGCGTCAAATTTTTCTGGAGCCTCGCTCGGAGGCCTATCAGATCCGATTTCGGAAAAGGGATCACGACGCGTTATATTAGTTATTTGTAGGAGTCAAAGAAAAAAAAAGAGCCGTCAAGTAAAAAAGTTGGCGCCGCGATGGAAAACAGGGAACGAGCGGAATATGTATATATGAAGCGACTGCGCGAGCACCGTCAGCCCGAGTAACATAAAACGCGTTTTTATATGGGCCGGCCTTCAAAAGAAGCCACCCGTTTGAACGCATAGTAGGCGAAACGGGTGGCATACCCGGAGGATAATTATCGTCTCTTCTCTTTCCAAGAATCCACGCGGCCGGGGGAAAAAGCGGCCAAGGGTGAGCGGCCCGCTTCGTTTCGTGAATCGCTCTCGCGATGACGTCTATTCGCGTTGAATTCATCAACCAAGCTCGCGTGTTGCTTTGACAATCTAGCGTCTCGTTTATGCGAACTGCGAACGTTACCACCAGCTAACCTGCGCGTCGATGTGCTGTGGAATGTCATTAAAATCGGATTAACCGGGAGAGCAAGGTGTTGATTTTTCAAGCGTGATTGCGACATTCTCTGGTGAATCGCGAGGCTTGTAGAGGCTCTTTTGTGAATTTACAAATGTACCGCGTATGCTTTTTGAGACTTCGCTGTCATGATTGTATGGGCAGAAATACTTGAATAATATACACACGTGGGAACTATGTTTAGCGTAAGCAGAGAACGCAAGAGTGTTCGAACGAACCCGTTATATTTGTTTTTAGTCCTGATTATGTTCGATCATTTTTTATAGTAATTCTTTACTAAGTTAACGTTTCTAACATTCTTTCTACACATATTTTCAGTTTGGTTTTATGTAGAGTTTATGTATCGTAAAATACTCGTAAAAGATTTTCAAAAATATTTACACACTAATTAATTCATTGAAATTGAAGACGAATAGTTCTATTTCTTACACCATTCGAACCAAACTCTCGGAAGGATCAAAGTTTCTTCTGACTCCGTCGTTATTTATCTGTGACACGCGTCTGTAAACATGTAGCTATCTCCTGTAAAATACATATGTATCAGCTATTCCGAAGCGAGCGACGTACCGCGTACATATTTAGAAGAAATTTCCCTTGCACACGATGTCAGCATCCATTCCTGTCGTACTTTATTTATCCAGATTACACCCGGCCGAACGTAAAAGTTTATGAGCAGTTTTCGTGTGATAAAGTGATTCCTCGAGCATCCCTCGCACGTATCGACTCTCGTACTGCGTGTATCGGGAACATCAGCTTTTTCACAAAGAGAAAGAGAGAGAGAGAGAGAGAGAGAGATCTGGAAATGCAGTCAGAAGCCAGAGGAATCGTAAACGCGGCTCGCTGAACCGAAATCTTGGCCTAGCCCCGGGCCCGTTCTGCATATTCGACCGCAAAACAATAAACGCAGTCGTCCTTCCCGGTAATCTTGACATCGATAATTTCGCAGACGCGCGTGGGAGAACCCTACGGCGTAGTATGGCCCGAGCTCAGGGCGGTCGAGGGGAACACAGCCGCGCGAAAAAAGAATCGCAATTTTCTCTTCGAGATCGCGTACACACCCCGCGGCTGCAACTCCAGCTTCCCCTCCCCCAACCTTAGTTTCCTGCTCCAACCGTATTTTTTTTTTTGTTTTTTTTTTCTTTATATCCTGCGAGATCGTTTTCGATCGGCGTAAATGCAGCCTCGATCGACGCGCGCTGACGATTTTTCTTCGATCGTTTAAAACGCCTGGTAATCACGGTGGAGAGGAATCCTTTGACTCTATCTTTTCTCTTTCTCTTTTTCTTTCACGGGGGATAAAATATCGAAGGCGAGGATTAAATTTACTCGATACGCCTTTGTGCATTTCCTTTGCGAGCAATCGGTGTGCCGATAGCGCCTTGAAATTCATGTCAAGTGTCGAGCGTTAATACGCGTCGCGCTTTGAGAGGAATCCTTTTCGTGCCGCGATTTCGCTTAAGTTTAAACGACAACCCTCGGTTGCTTTTCTTTTCTCCACTGAGTGTGTGTATGTAGGAAGTTTCGTATTATGATATTTTTAGTGTTTCATTCGCTGACTCGGATCAGACGGATTAATGCGGAAGTTGCTTATCTTAAGGATGGAGCGAAAATTTCGCGCGTTGAAAATTAGTTTCATTCTCTCAGGAGCAGGGAAGAGAGAAACGCGACGGTGCCGGAAGAGTTGGAGGAAACTGTTTTAACCATACGCGAGCGTATATATGTACCTATAGTTTCGCTCGTTCCGCCGGCGAATGTGTAGAGAAAATCGTCCCCTCGGATTAACTTCGTCACGCGAATCATCGGGACGCGAGGAACTCGGTCGAAGACAGTCGCAATTAGAAAAACAGTTTAGAGGCTGTGACAGTCCGGCGACGGCGAGCGTGTACCGCCGCTAAATACCAGGTTACTCCATTAACGGGTATAGATAGGTTCGCACGGTTGCAACCAGTTTCGCTGGATGAGTTTCCAGTCGTATTGTGCGGCGACACACAGCCGGTACACAGCCAGTTAACATTTTGAAAGTTTTGAGAAAGCATTAACTCCTCGTGCCCGCGCGCGCGTGTGTGTGTGCGCGCGCGGCTTGAACCCTTGTTCGATCTCTGCTCGTTCCTCCGCTCTCCTCGTGTCCCCGTGTGGCGGCCATTTCCCCTATATATAGCGGCGGATTGCTCTAATGAAGTTGATGAAAATTTTCAAAGGAACCCGGCCACACGGGTTACGCAACCTGGAAATCCTTCGGACTTAGAAATAATCGCGCGCGAGTCGGTTCATTTTTTATATAGAGTGGAAGAGTTTGCTCGTCTCGATGCGCCTGAACAGCCAGCTCAAAGAATTAAATGCCCGTTTAACCGAGCGTCTTTCAATTACTTTGCAGGTTCGCTTACCCAAGGGACAAGATACGTTGCTTTGGTGCCGCGTTCTAAGGATGCCAAACATTGATCACAAACACCACGTCGTGAAGGTAAGTTTCTCCCCGGTAGCTGTAACCTACTTACTCGCAACCTACCTCTTCGTACAGCGTCTTACGCATCTAACCCATCTAAAGTTGATTAAACCAGGGAAGACGCGAGAACAGATATCCCCACCGACGTGGGAGCTGTCGAGCGTCAGAGATCTTCAGTCGGTTCGTCGAGTGGAAATCCACTCGGCGAGTTTCTTCCGGAATTTGAAACGATCGTCTCGTCGGTTTACGGTTAAACGTTAAACCCCCGTTTCTGTCACAACGAGCCACTCTGACACGGATATGGTATAAACCATATATAAATTGCTCTTCCGG